GTAAAGTTCATTATCACTGTTCTTCGAAGAATGATTTCAATTCACTCTTGTGGTTTCGATGTCAACTCAAGGGTCTCGAGTATTTACAAAATCTTTTTTTAGCAAGATGATCATTGTCACTCTTTTTCAAAATATTCTCCCCGTGTGGCCATTTAAACGCAATTTATCTCACTTAGATACTAGCCTGTCTAGATTTTTGTGTCAGAGATCCTGTATTGTTTAAAGGCCCTGTGAAAAGTTTAGACCACTTATGATTTTATATTGGAATCGTATATATGACGTGCACGGACCTGGGGACAATTCGGGAAATGCGGGCTTATCTCAGCTTTGAACGTTAATCTCTGCCTTATTTAAAAAGCCAACTATGTGTTTTACATATCATTTTGAAGTATTTTTTATTCCCATTTCAATGAAATTATTTTTCCTTCAAAATTTTGATGGGATCCAACACATTTTTAAAGTTAAATATACTCCGACATCGTCAAATACGCTGTAAGACGTAACACTTTACGCTTACAGGGCTCGTTGAAATTGAGATAACTTTTGAAATAATGATCAAAATCCCACTTAAATTTCACAATTTATTCAATGGAACATTTGCATTTATGACGTCACAATTGCTTAACGGCTACATTTCAAATTATCTTATACGAACGCTTTTAAAATTTTCAAAATTGTGTAAGGTTTTGAAGGCGAATGGGACGAGCAATAAGTTTACCTTCATTTAACCTTCTGATTTAGGTCTGATTTGAAAGAAAATTTAACTGCACAATATTGTCATGGCGAAATTTACAAAACAATAACCGGTTTGTTTATTTTGCAAATAATATCAAAATAAGAGCTGGTTTTCGAGACTTGAAAAAATGTGACGCATCGATTTTTTACCACAAATTCCATACATATCAATTTTTACTAACGCCCCAAGTGGATTTCTTGACCGTTTTTCAAAATCCAAAAACATTTTAGAAATATTGTCCTCGAGATCTTGCTACCCTGTAAATTTTGTAATGATTTGATAAGGATAACGTATTTTATTTTTAGGTTGACTAAACTTGTAAAAAATGTGACGCTTGTCGTTTTTGACGTTGTAAGGCTGTTTGCGCCCTATTCTGCTCATTGTTTTGTTTTGTTTTTTTGACGCCATAATGTTACGCTAATTGTCCCCAGTTTCGTGCGACGTGTAATACCCTTTTTTTGCATTTAAAACAGTGGTGTTTGAACATTACTTTTAAAATATTGGATTCAGGTTCTTTTTAAAATAGTTAATGGAATGGGGTTCATATGCAAATCTTCTAGTAATATTTGAATGATAAAACTCATTTTTCAAACTTTGCATGGGGCCTTTATGACATATCATGCTTGTAGCAACCAAAAATCGTGTTTCGAGTATCAAACTTCACTTGTCATGATCATCGATATCTCGTGATATCATCATCTACTATTCATCTACTTTGTTTCTAGTCTATGATGAAGATCGTCTGTTGACCTTTCAAGTGGTATTGGAGTAGGTTTGATGAGTTAAAATATTTGTTGCATTCAATATTGGCAATGCATGTATATCTGGTCATGCACATTATTGCAAGTGATTTTAGACTGTCATACCTTTCACCATGAGTACTTTCTGGCCATAAATATGTAGTGTTTTTTTATTCAAGTGAAGTCCCCATAATGATAAAATATTAATGGAACATTTCGAAAAATTATGTATAGGGATCCCATGTCAGCATATTTTTTAAATAATGAACCAATTTACTAAAGAGGATCTTTTTCTGATTTTACGCAAATACCATCTGGGGCAACCGCAAGATACAGGTGGAGGTTTAATCATCTCTGCTGGGGGCACCTTCCAAAATGAAAATCGGATATAGTTTGGAGCATGGGCCGATGTCCGAGGTTGTCCAGGATTGTCCGGTGAAAATAACTCCCTTGACGTCGAATTTATCCGGCAAGTATGGCAAGCTTAACGTAACGATTCACTATTGAATTGATTAATAGATGGAAGCCTAATGCGAGCTCAATTCCAACTAAATTAAAGGCCCACTTCGCGTATTTTCAATGTTTTGGGGCAAAATTAATACTTTTATTTAAATTCCATAGAATGTCTAATGTATTGATAAGAACCAAGAACCCTATCTTTCATTTGACACCAACAACAGCTCAAATGGACCATATCAAAGCTTACAATGAATAATCAAAAAAATATTTTCGATCTGTCAAGCTTTATATATCAAGTTTTTATCAATATCATTAAAAGATGGCGAAGTTGTTTGTATTACATGATACATTCATTTTTTATGTCCCCCCCACATAGTGTTGGGCCATATTGTCGGCCTAGGCGCGTCCGACTGTCTGTCCGTCCGTCCGTCCGTCCGTACGTCCGGGAGTTTTCTCCAAAACCGCTACAGATATCACCTTCAAATTTTCAGGGATAACTTATGAGTGCATATAGATGTGGATGAAAAAATTTAACTCGAAACCTACTTCCTGTCGGTCATTTTGAAGCCAAATGCTAAAATTCTTTTCTGCAAACTTTAAGAAAAACGGCTCCACAGTTGCTTTTAAAACTTTAACATCTTGTTCAGCTCACTTCATTCTACATCTGATTAGGTTTTGGACCTGTTAGCTCAGTCATGTCAGTCTTAAGAAAAGTTAGCGCGCGATAATACTTTGTATCATATTGAATGGTGTTTTTGAGTTTTCATACTTTAACTATTTAGTTGCTTTATAAATAATTTCAGATGTACTTTAATTTGTTGTAAAAGCCTATTTTATTGTTAACAGTAGTTATATGTGATAATTTTGTAAAAAGAAATCAGCAAAAACTCATCACGACTTTTTTATTGTCTGCCATTTTGGATTTTTCGGTCCTAAAACTGTTCGGTGGATCAATTTCAAATTTTCAGGGATGATTCTTAGTATAAAAATCTAGATCTCATTAGTTTTTTGGCATTCAGGGTAAACGTCAAGGCAGCCATTTTGGATTTTCCGACCTAAAATCTTGTCTGTAAAGTCTTGTCTACGCGTTTTCAGGTGAACCGTTTGGTAGATCAATTTCAAATTTTCAGGGATGATTCTTAGTATGTAAAATCTAGAACTGATTAGTTTTTTGGCATTCTGGGTAAATGTCAAGGCAGCCATTTTGGATTTTCCGTCCTAAAATCTTGTCTGTAAAGTCTTGTCTACGCATTTCCAGTTGGACTGTTCTGTAGATCAATTTCAAATTTTCAGGGATGATGCTTAGTATGAAAATCTAGATCTGATTAGTTTTTTAGCATTCTGCGTGAATGTTAAGGCAGCCATTTTGGATTTTCTGTCCTAAAATCTTGTCTGTAAAGTCTTGTCTACCCGTTTTCAGGTGAACCGTTTGGTAGATCAATTTCATATTTTCAGGGATGATTCTTAGTATGAAAATCTAAATCTGACTAATTTTTGGGCATTCTGGGTAAATTTTAAGGTGGCCATTTTGGATTTTCCGTCCTCAAATTGTGTTGGTAAAGTCTTGTCTACTCATTTTCAGGATAACCATTTGACGGGATCACCCATTGGTGGGGACATTTTGTACACATTTGTGTTCTTGTATAGAAGTGTAGCCATCTTTTTAATCAAAAGTAATTAAAAACATGCACTTTGTTTAGCATGTGCATGCATGTCTAATGATCTCTGAACGTCAAATGCTTTTTTTCTATGTGAGTTATTTTTTCTTGGTTCAATATTAAAGCAAATCAAACTTTGCTTCATATTTGAGCGAGTGTGTGAGTAATATGTTTCAATGACATTTTTTCTTTTTTCTTCTAAATTAAGTATAGTGCGGACCTTTAAGTATAATATATAGTTAATTAGTTAAGGAATAAATAATGATAGGCCATTCAATATGGTGAAATTCAGCACGAGTTGGACAGAATGTCGTACAAAGCACGAACCGAAGGTGAGTGCATTTGTACTGACATTCTGTCCAACGAGTGCTGAATTTCACCATATTGAATGGCCTATCATTATTTATTCCGATTCAAACATATAAAAAATGAAAACATTGTTCAGAGAATTGGGGATTGGAGCTACATGAGATACACCAAACTCGAGCTCGCTGTTATTTTCGCCATTCCAAGGTGTGACGTCACAATGCAAATACAATGCGTAGATTCCCGGATGATTGGATAGAGCACGGTCGTGCATCTATGGAGAATTAGAGAACGTTCTATATTGGCTATGCTGCATTCTGATTGGTTGAGAAATTCAATTAGAGCACGGTCATGTTTGAATTGAGCATTAAACACTTAGTAGAGCAAATCAAACTTTTCAAAAAGGCCTTAGTTCAGGTTTAATGTCCTGTTTAAGAAACCCTACTCTTAATATTGTTAGTAAATGGATTCTACCACTACTCTCCCACGTGAAATATACTTGAAACTCGATCAACCGGCCAATCAACTTGAGTTCTTCTTAGAGAATGAGGATTATAGCAAGAGTATAATCCTGCATATCTATGATTGACGATTTTGCAATTTTTTCCTTAAACTGGTCGGGAAAATTAACCAAACACATTTTCTTTTCCCAGGAAATCATCCGTCAGAATCCATTGAAATGTTGGAGAATATTCTTGTAAAATAGCGTCACCTTAAGACTAATAAATTTTCCTGGAAAACTGTTTTTACTGGGCAATTTAAAAAACATTCTTGCATATTTTCATACAATTAAAACTTTGTAGTTTTTATGAGTTAAGACAGTAAACCAATTTGTACAGTAACCAATATTCCATATGTTATGAGCAAAGCTGTAATCTTATACCACAAATAAAAAATGCAACATTTACGTTTCGAATAATGAATATATCTATTTTTATTTCCGATACAAGGTCTGTAACTTCCAATATTACAATTGTATTTGATGATTCGTCAAGAGTAAGAAGATATTGTGCACAACAAAACGTGGAACATTTTCATTATTGGACGTTATTATTCCCACTATAAATTGAATGACAATTATGAAATGCCAGAAAAAATATAAATAGCTACAAAATGTCAATATACTAGTTCACTATGTTCTGTTACAAATTATAAACAAGGCATTAACATAAAACTGTCACTCCATGCCATTTGTTACAGACGCCGGCCGCCGAACGCTGTTACAGACGCCGGATATTTGGAGACTATAAAAATGATTAACGAGATTGATTAATGAGATCTAGAACATTTTGAAACATAAATGGATTCATTTAGAATTAACCATTTGGCTCCCAGAGCATATTTCTTGTACATGCCATTTAAATATCTGGAACTAACATGTAAAATCCGTTATTAAAAATGTTCCAATTTTCATTATCTCGCCTCCTGTTTGTACTATCATGCAGCTGCGTACTTTTAATAAATGATCCTATAAAAGCTGTTCGAGTAGTATGATATTTCCAGTTCTCGGCCTATGTATTTTTCTTACTAGCGCTAACCACCAAGAACCTGAAAAATAGAAATAGAACCTTCGTTGAATACCACTCAGAGAAAAAGTTTTGTTTTGGCCAACTATTTAACATGCGCTGAACAAGGTTTTGATCTGACAGCCATTCGGGTCATATCTATATCACAGGTGGGAATCAAACAGCACTCTCCTGCAAGAACCTTTCACCGCATGATCCAGTAAAAAGTCGTCAAAACTTGTAAGTGCATCGACCTAGCTTATTCTTGTTGATAGTATTCATGCTAGCGGAATGAGTGAATAGGGTAGCCGCTAACAGTGGTTCTAGCAGGAGAGTGCTGTTTTATACCTACCTGTGTAATGCTGATCTTGCTACTTTTGATAAGTATAGATGGCAGCGCCAGTGTTCGAGGTTTGGAGCCTACACTTAGTATTTTTAATACTTCATACACAGACGACAGACAGGAAGTGAACAGTGAATATACATATCGAATAAGAACTATTAAGAGCTTTTGCCCATATGTTTTATTACTGGTTGACTTTATGTAGTGCTCTTAATTTCAATGGTGTTTAAATGATGATTCAAAATCAAATCAATTTGTTTCATTCGTATAATATATTGATACATAAGTTCCAGTGAAGTTATTGTTCGAGAAAGAAATATTTTAATTTTATAACTAAAACCATAGACAATTACAAAAATGGTATGATGCATTTTAATGAAATTTGGAAAATGTTTGTAAAGGAAAAAATACTTTTAAAAAAGGTTTAAAATTCAAATTACGGTTTTGCGGGACGTAGTGGTTAGTGGTATACCAAAACCTTTGGGTAAGACTAGTGTTGCGAAAGTCTTCATTTCTGAAGCCACATTTCTAGATGTACTGTTACATGTAAATTTCAAATATGACATCGCTTTTTGGCTGATTTTTGAATATTTAATGATGTAAAAAAGACTATTTCTCCTCGCATCTAGTCTATTCAATTTACACACACGAGTTTACACATTACCTGAGTTTCTGCATCCTGATTTCCAGTGCCATCTAATGACCGTTTAAATCTCCATGCGTTCATATTTAAACCGCAATGGCATGATGTCGGGTGCCCGTGTGGTCGTCTGAAGAAAGGTGTCAATGTTAACAATTTGATATTATTCCAGCAGACCTCATATTTTTACTATAGTAAACACATTTAGTGATAATTTTCTTCATCTTTTAATCTCTTTATTTTTAATCCTAAAGTTTCAAAGTAATATCAAAAAGTGAATACAATATAAATAATACTTTTTACTTCCACATTATTTGGATTATAAAATCATCAATTTTCTCTAACAAGAATCAATATATAAATATTAAATATGTCGGAATTGAAATGTAAAAATGTAATTTTGAGGATTATCAATACTTACGTTCAGTATAATCATTATCCAGAATGATAATATTCGTGAATCGATGAAGTAATTGTTATCATTTTAATAATTTTATATAATTATTACCAATTAAAAGGTTTTATAATTAAGAATGACATTATGTTCGAATAATATAAACTTAGAATCGGGAACTAATTTTGGTTGTCATGGTGGCAATAATGTTACTCTTACTTGATGTATCCAATACAGCGTAGAAAATTTAGTGTTAGCATTGATCTAAAGGTATAAACCTTTGCTGCTAGAAATGCGTGAATAGACCAACAACTTTTTTTGAAGGTCAACATTTCCAAATATTTTTTCAAATAATTTTTAAAGTCATGATAAATAATATTTGGATGATGAAACAATATTTTCAAACTTTGCATGAAAATCATTTTTCAGAAATCAATTTTATTGAACCAATCAAAATCTGCGACACTGTAATGCACTTGTGCATAGCCACATTGGATGTGAAACAACACCTTCAATGGAAATTGACAATGGTTATAAAAAGGCTGCAGACATTAGGGTTAATCATATTTGCAATTAATAATGTAAATGTCGAAGGATGTACTTACGCACACAACCTTCTGCATACATGGGCTGGTGGCCCTCGTTTAAACCTTTGATTTCCATCTATGGTAGACAACACACTTGAAATCACTATCAATGCAAGGATGATGTAGACTTTCATGCTGAAATAACACAATTGTATAATAAAAATAGTGAACTTAATTTCAAACTGTGTTATATACCACAAAGGAAGAGGTGCGATTATTGGCAAATATCCCTATGGTCAAAATGAATCATTCTTAGGTGTAACATGAAGAATAAAATGTCATATAATACTTTGGAAAATATTAAAGTGCTCGGGCACACATAAGCTGAGATAGGGATCATTTCGTTCAGTAAGGTTGTATTGACTTACATTGGGCTGTGCACCATTGACTTAACATGAGGATATCAGCAGATCCCAATAGAGGCCATTGGTTTCCATTGATTATCGAAATACCAAAAATACACTATGACCTGAATCGATTGCAAACTTAATAATTTCACAATATGACACAAATGGTTTATCTCATCAAATGTGCAAACATGAAGTTTGCAATCGATTCAGGTCATACTTAAAATTAAAAAATTATACATTTTTTCATCATTTCTTCCCTACAAAATGGCTAAAGAAAAATGCTCCAAAAACAACTTTTACACTTATCAAATATCATACAAGTTTGTAAAACCAAAGATTATACTATTATATTTCATTATGTAGTAACATATTTGGATAAGATGCAGGGGTGCGTAGGATGCAAATGGATTTTGACAGACACAAAAATACTTCCTGGTTTGGAATCTATGCATCTACACTTCATGATTGAATGATGACCCTAATAAGTGGCCTATACATCAATGCAGTGCTGAATATAGGTCAACAAGATACTAGTGTGCATATAAATGTAATAATTGAAGCGGAATACTCATTTTGAAAAATCAGATGAATTATTTTTTTCCCATGGGGAGATCCCAATGGAGGGTGTATAAGGTCCTTTAACTTCATGATTTCATGTTCCGAAGTTTTATATGCGTGAACCAATTTTAGGAGCCGTGGAAATATTTCCTCAGATATATATCATCGAACGTTTTTTAGGCTATTAATTTCCTGGAAAATAATGCCCCGGGTATGATATATGGCAAATGATAAAAGAGAGTCATATATATTACCAAAGTTATTTTCTCATGATATAAACATAACAATTCTCATAAAATAATCCAAGTAAAATCCCTAAAAAGATGAAATTATCTAACCAATTCTCCGAAAAATTCAAAGTTTGAGATTATTTTCTAAAAAGAGTACTAAGCCATCAGCTTCACCCCAAATTTTGGTTTTAGGTGTCATTGATTTCATTTGTGTCATCAAAGAATTACATATATAATGCCGAAATGATTATGTATATGAATCCTCGTGTACCTTAGAATAGAAGGAGGATGTTGGCTAGTGATTATGCTATCTTTGAATATATATACTTTGGTAAACTAAGATTTAGTGATTGAATATTTCAGTTACCATTGAAGTTTTTTCTCTTCATTAGAATTGAAAAAAATCGTCGCCTTGATGAAAATCAATGATGGCTACCAAAATATATATATGGCTTCATTTTATGAGAAACAATTGAAACACTTGACTAAACTTTAACCCCCATAGTAGTTTTCCAATACATTACTGTCATATGAATTTTAATAACTGGTAGGCATTATGAAGACAGTGGTTCATGTCTTTGTATTGATTCACATACGCTTTACAGGCCATTGGAATATATGGCAGTCATCTTTGGCATCTGTTCCTCCTGTTTTTTACCACCTTGCCACTTTACTTCCTGCAACGCACCTACTGAAATCTTTAACAGTAGTTCTCTTTTTGTAGAATTCTTTAAAGGCATCATGATTGTTTATCATTTCACCCAACGCGTCATTGAGAGCAAGTAAACATTCGTCAAAAGATTGTGGGCCGTCTACAGTTGCATTCCCATATTCCTCACAGGGGTTGCCATGGGGATGCCACCATGATCCATTTTGCTATCATTGAATAGAGGGTTAAGTATATGCCTTATTAGAGGGAGCATCACTTCATAAACACAATTTTTCTTTAAAGGCACACTATACTTATACTCTAAGAGCGAGGAGGAAAGTTCTTAATAAATGGAGTATAGTTGGTTTGGCAGCATTTTCAGTTAGGGGGAAGTCTTGGACGAGAATTCTACCTAGGTGATAGCTTCACAGAGTGGTACATAATTCTATTTTTTCAGGGGTTAGCCCCCCACCCCCCAAAAACACCCCACCCCGGTAAAATAATTTTTTCATTCTCAACAACTTTAGATATCTTGATGTTTGTAAGTTACATACATAGACATTATATATATGAATCATTTGAAAAATAAATAATGCCAATCACTCCTACAGAATTTGAATAATAGTACAAAATGTGTACCCTAGGGGGCAAATTCGTGACCCATTTTCTTACTATTTAGAGCCTCACTTTTCAATTAGACACTGGAAGACATTGGAAAAATTCATGTGAAGTGCCCAATAGCAGGCCTATGAGCCCTGAAAGGTTCAAACTAATTTAATCAGTAGGAGCCAAGAAAAAATTGTTGATTTTTTGAACATTTTGACATTTTCGAGATGGGTGATTTTGTGTATGACTATAGCTGACGCTTATAGTTTCTAGATTCATCCCTCTTTGATGTTAAATATGGTTTTAAAGTGTAGAACTAAGATGTAAAAATAATTAAAATGGGTTTTAAGGAAGTTTAAAGTTTTAAATAAGACCAAAATTTGAAGAATTGTACAATATCAGGTCTGAATTTATAAATTTCAGGTATGACCTTGGATGAGCCTTATGTTTTTTATATCTGTCCCTCTTTGATGATATTTATGGTGTTTTAGTAACAAACTAAGCTGTAAAATATAATTCAGATGGATTTTAAGAAGGTTTAAGGATTTAACAAGTCAAAATTTGAAGAATTGTACTATATAAGGTCTGAATTTATGAATTTCAGGTAAGACCTTGGGTAAGCCTTATATTTTTTACATCAGTCCCTCTTTGATGATATGTATTGTTTTGTAGTGTGGAACTAGGATGTAAAAAACAATTAAGATGGATTTTAAGAAGGTTTTAGGATTTTCACAAGTTCAAAATTTGAAAAATTGTACAATATTAGGTCTGCAATTAACACATTTCAAGTATAACCTTGGTTGGTTCTCATGTTTTTTACACCTATCCCTTTTTCATGATATATTTGGTTTAATAGTGTTGAAATAATATGTATAACATAATTTGGATGGGTTTTAAAAAAACTAAATGTTATAAACAAGTTCAAAATCTTGGCGAATTGTACAATATCAGATCTGAAATTAACAGATTTCAACTATAACCTTTGTTGGCCCCTATGTTTTTTAATATCCCTTTTTGATGATATATATGGTTTAGCAGTGTGGAACTAAAAGGTAAAACATAATTAAAATGGGTTTTAAGGAGGTTTAAGGTTTTAAACAAGTTCAAAACTTGACAAATTGTACAATATGAGACCTAAAAACAAATTTCAGGTATAGCTTTAGATGAGCCTTATGTTTTTTACATATATCTCTCTTTGATAACATATATGGTTTTGTAGTATGGAACTAAGATGTAAAACATAATTTAGATGGGTTTTAAAGAAGTTTTGGGTTCTAAAGAGGTTCAAAACTTGACAAATTGTACAATATCAGGTCTGAAATTAACAAATTTCAGGTATAGATTTGAATGATCCTCATGCTCTTTACATTGTAAACCTCTTTGATGATTTACATGGTTCTGTACTGTAGTGTGGGACTAAAATGTAAAACATAATTTAGGAATTTTGGGTTTTAAGGAAGTTTAACCCTGATGTCTACAGGGGAGGGGGGGTCAATTTGACCTACCCCTCTGTTTTTTAAATGGTACTTTTTGCAAGTTTTTCTTGTGCCATCATTATTATTTTAAGCTTGAGCCACAGATAAATGACACCTTTTGGTGTAAAGATCAAGGTGATTGGGGGTAGAGGTGCAAAGTTATGATAGTCCGAAGTTGATCCCAATAAAAATGAAATTTATGAAATATTGATGGTTACCCTGTTTTTAATACTATAAAAAATGCAAAATGATGATAATTTCTAGATAATCATTTAGCAATAAGTAATAAATATAAACCTCCTTAAAACCCCAAATTCCTAAATTTTGTTTTACATTTTAGTTCCACACTACAAAACCATGTAAATCATCAAAGAGGTTAAGAATTTCAGACCTAATATTGTACAATTTGTTTTGTTTTGAACTTCTTGAAAACCTTAAAGAGAGAATCAGATCCAGCAAGCAGCCAAACAAAAGATTTTGTTTAAATTTTTGAATATTTCTGGCTTATGTCATTCCTTTTCATGTCTATTTGCTATAAAATCCCCAAAGTGCACACTTTAGTGTAGGAAAACTAAAGATTTCTACAATAAAGTATTATTTCTCCATAAGAATGGTTACCATTCTTATTATTTTGGGAGTATTTAAACACTTTTCCCCCATTTTTGCACTTTGAATCCATTATAACTTCACCGGTTTTAACACATCATGAATCTTTTGAATCTTTGAAGATATTGTATTTTAAATTGCAAGGAACAGATTGGTAGGTGAATTGTACATGTTGTTTGTAATTTTATCACCCCTATAGATCTGATTCTGCCTTTTAACTTCCTTAAAACCGATCGATCTGAATTATGTTTTACATCTTAGTTCCATACTACTAAACCATATATATCATCATAGAGAGATATATACCTAAATTTGTTAATGTCAGATATGATATTGTACAATTTGTCAAGTTTTGAACAGCTTTAAAACCTTAAACCTTCTCAAAACCCATCTAAATTATGTTTTACCTCTTAGTTCCACACTACTATATATTACCAACCATATATTATATGATCATTGAGAGATACTGTAGATTGGGTTAATTTGGCGCTACTTAATTTGGCGATTTTGCCATTTTTGGCATATTGGCGGCTATTTAATTTGGCGGATATGCAAAAAAAATTTATAATTAACTTACGCGCTGTTTGCGAATTACCATGTGAATGGGCATGTGTATGGCTATGTTAATTTTTTTTTTCTTTTGAGGACCACTGGCGATATTCACCACGTTTGTACATTTTTGTGAGATCATCCTTTACATTTTCCTTTCTAGTTTTTCCCTGAGTATTAATGAATGACTGACCAGTTCTGAGCCAATTTATGAGAGACATTTTTTCATATTTTTGGAAAAAACAAGACCAGAAGTGACCGAAATACACTGGATGAAATACCCTTGATAATTCCCGGGGATTCATTCTCAATTTTGGCGAAGACATATATTGGCGAATTTTTCAATTTCGCCAAATTCGCCAAATTAAAGCGGAGCCCAAATTAACCCAATCTACAGTAGATGTAAAAAACGAATAAGGGCCATCCACAGTTATACATAAAATCAATAAATTCCAGACCTGTTATTGTACAATTCTTAATATTTTTAACTTGTTTAAAACCTTAAACTTGTTTAAAACCTGTCTAACTTATGTTTAATATCTTAGTTCAACACTGCTAAACCATATATGTCATCAAAAAGGGATAGGTGTAAAAAAACATAACGCTCGTCCAGGGTAATACCGAAAATTCATTAATATCAGCTCTGATATTGTACAATTCATAAAAATTTGAACTTGTTGAAATCCTTAAACTTCTTTAAAACCCATCTTAATTATGATTTACATATTAGCTCCAAACTACTAAACAATATATACATATATCATCAAAAAGGGATAGATGTTAAAAATATAAGGGCCAAGCAAGATTATACTTTAAATTCGTTAATTTCTGATATTGTATAATTCGCCAAGATTTTGAACTTGTTTAAAACGTTAAGCTTCTTTAAAACCTATCTAAATCATTTTTTACATATTTCCACACTCCTAAACCAAATATATCATGAAAAGGGGATAGGTTTAAAAAACATATGGACCAACCAAGGTTATACTTGAAATTTGTTAATTGCAGACCTGATATTGTACAATTCTTCGAATTGTTTAAATCCT